TGCCGAATAATTTTCTGTACTTAAATTGTGTCGGTCTTTTGTTAATGCGAGAATTTTATCGCGCACGAACTTTCGCACAATGATTTGCAATTCATGCAAAACTTAACCTCGAAATTGTTTTTCGATAATTTCGAAGTATCCATTTTTGACATAATACTAAAGAAAAATAATGAAACAAATTTCTCAAAAATTTATCGGTCAGAGTAAATATTTATTATTTAATATTATTTAGCATAGCCTATATGTGTTATTTAATATTTTATTATTTTTGTATATTAGTCATATTTAATATTTATTGTAATATATCAATTTTTTGATTATAATTTTTACTTGAAATACAATTAAAATTTTTACAGCTGGTATAATCTCCTTATTGGAGGAGCCAATGCCTGAATTGAAAGTCTTTGCCTTGAAAAAATTGGACATGATAGTCGACGAATTTTGGCCTGAGATTTCTGAGGCTATAGAAAAAATGTATGTACAGGAAAAAAAACAAAACATATATTCATATATTATTGCTGATTTTATTTAGCGTTATTGCTTTCCATTTGTTCATTTTATTCTCTAAATGGATATCCTATTTACAGTGAGATTCTGCACGAAGATAAGTCATTCCAACAACATGAACTGGCTGCTCTAGTTGCTAGCAAAGTATATTACCATTTGGGAAGTTTTGAGGATTCGTTGACTTATGCTCTTGGAGCAGGAGAACTATTTGACGTCAATGCTCGAAACGAATATGTTGATACTACTATCGGTATATCAAATTATTATCAGTGGTATTTAATCAAGCTATTAATTTCAAGCTATTAATATTTAATTGTTAAATTTTCTAGCCAAATGTATTGATTATTACACTCAGCAACGTGTCCTAGAGGCAGAAGGAAAGCTTCCACCAGGTAGTAAGGGCATTGATCCTAGACTGGAGGGAATTGTGAATCGTATGTTCCAACGCTGCCTGGATGATAATCAATATCGTCAAGCTCTAGGTCTTGCCCTGGAGACACATAGGATGGATATATTTGAAGCAGCCATTATGCAGTCTGTAAGTATTTTGCTATTGAGTTTCCTTTTATATATAGAGTACATCACATTCATTCCACTTAGATGTATAGTAAAAAAATTCATAATATACAAAATATTATTTCTAATGACAAAAGGTGGATATCAGTATAAAATTTTATAACTCTATAAAAGAACCAAACATAAGTAAAATGTCAGCTCTGATTTTTTTATATAAATTAATATAAAAAAATAATTTTGTGTACCCAAGAATAAATCAAATATAAATAATACTAATATGAGAGCTTCTGTGGTTGTTGGTGCATACATAATATATTTATAATTTAATAAGACAATTCGTGAACAATTGGAATAATCAACCTTTTCTTTTTTAATTGTGAAACGTATATGGATTGAAAATCTGAACTCAAGACCCGTTAATTATTATATTGATTATAAGTGAACCGTTCTTACATGGAGCTACCGACTTTTGTCACATTGATTTATATCTATTATTTTATGTGATCTATCCAGATATATTTATAATTTATAAAATAATTTGTTTAAAATTAAAATTAGACATGAAAACATGAAATTCCTTTTCTTCCAGGACGACGTGAGTGGAATGTTATCATATGCCTTCCAAGTGGCCATGAGCTTGATTCAGAATCGTGGATTTCGTAACACTGTACTCCGCTGTTTGGTCAGTCTCTATCGAAACCTTGGCACCCCCGATTACGTCAACATGTGTCAGTGCTTAATCTTCTTGGACGATCCGCTAGCTGTAGCCGAGCTTCTGGACCGATTAAGCAAGGGTTCGCACGACTGCGTATTGATGGCCTATCAGATTGCCTTTGATCTGTACGAGTCAGCGACTCAGCAGTTTCTCGGTCGTGTTTTACAAGCTCTACGAGCCACTGCGCCAATTCCGGGTGCGTTGATGGTTAAACCGGTGGTTAAACCATCCACTACTACTGCTACCAAAACCACTGAAGCTAGTACAGAATCCACGAATATGGAGGTTGATGAGGAAACTGCTGCTCCCGCCGGAGAAGAAAAAGCTCAGCGCAGTGTCGAAAGTTTGGTGAGTGTGTGTTTATTTTTAAGTCTGTAGGTTCTTGTCAGAGACGTAATGACTTACATATGCTGATATATGGAATCTGTAGTTTTAACGCTGATTCGAAATTAGACGTCATGAAAGAAGACAAAAATACTCTCAGTCGTTTGCTAGAACTTTCCGAGAGATAATATTCAAATAAAATCTTATATTTGTGTTCTGAGTGGACTTGAACACATTACCTCTCTTTATTAGCACTTTTTGATATTAATTATAATTGCATTATGTTGATAAATATATTAATATTATACATTCATGAATATTAATTAAAAATATTTTATTTTTTTCTAGAATGCGGAAGAGAGAGAACAGCAAGAGCGAATAGATGCTTTGTCCAGTATTTTGGGAGGCGAGGTATCTATCGATTTGCATTTACAATTCCTGATTCGCAGCAATCACACCGATATGTTGATCCTGAAAAACACCAAGGATGCCATACGAGTTTCAATTTGCCATACTGCCACTGTCATTGCGAATGCTTTCATGCATTCCGGGACAACTAGTGATCAATTTTTGAGGTATGCATCTATTTTCAGGACTTTTAAAGGCGTTTTTAATTTTTGGTATTTAAAATGTTTTAGTTGTACTTTTATTTTTTAAATAGGAATGTAATACATAAAAAATATTTAATCTTACTATTTTCAAATTTTTAGAAATTTTATTTGTTATGATTTTTTATCTTAAAAAATAATAAAATGAAACATAGAAAATATGAAGTGAATTCTTGCAGAATTTTTAATTTTTTAAAATTTTTATTTGTTATCTTTTAGGGATAATTTGGAATGGTTGGCTCGTGCTACTAATTGGGCAAAGTTGACTGCGACGGCTTCTTTAGGAGTTATTCATCGAGGCCATGAGCAAGAAGCTTTAGCCTTGATGCAGTCGTATTTGCCGAGAGATTCTGGTGCTGCTGGTGCCGGATATTCCGAAGGCGGTGGTTTATATGCTTTGGGACTTATACATGCTAATCATGGAGCCGCTATCACAGATTACCTTCTAGGCCAATTAAAAGATGCCCAAAACGAGGTATATTGCATTTAATACTTATTTTAGCACATTTTCTTATGTTAAATTTGTAATTTTTTGTATATA